GTTTGGGAGGGATTAAATTTTTCTACAGTAAATCAATTCTCATTTTCAACCACACATTTTTCAATAAAATAATATTTTCCATCACATCAATAATTTTTTCTTCTTTTTCAATTACACATTTCCCATCATATCACTATTCAAAATAAATAGGCTGAAATAGAGAATTAACTGGCCAGGAATTATGCAATAAACCACAATTAACCCGACTGTTAATCTTTTAATTAACGCAAATATAATCACATGAGTTTTAGGAATTAAAAGAATTTGGAAGGTTTTTTATTTGGAAAAATAATAAAATAAAGGCAAAATGTGGACCTTCTTAAGGGCCAATTTTTGATCCATTCGGTTCGACATTCGTATATGCAAGTCACGCCCCACGCACAGGTTCAATGTTCGAAACCTTTTTTTTTCAACAACATATTGAATCACTATAGACAACGGAGGTCACAAATGTATTAGAGGTTATGAATAAAATTTTCACACATAACATAGGGGATTACACAATATGCTAGGCATATGGGCGATCATATTAGATATCACAAGATACTCTAAATCGTTATTGATATTTCTATATACTGGTTACAACTAAAGAATATGGATAAAATATCACAATCCCATTTTTTTTGTTTACACAGATGTGGCGTAGATGAGTATAGAAGGAATAATTACTTTGCTGAAATTTAGAATGGAATATAGTGAGAGAAAATATATCCATATGGACACATCTAAAAAGTATCGATGCTTAGCATACTATGGATAAGTTTATGGTGAATTTCAACATTTAAATTAAGTTTGTTATCTATCAATGAATTGATGTCTCACGGCATCGGTGTTTTAACATAAGTTAACCACTTGTTATATATTCACCCATTTCTATCACATTTGTAATTTTGTATAAATTCAAAAAAAAAAAACGATATATGACCTAATTTCTGCAAACTTTCTTAAACTTTGATATTTATGAAAATGTATACTTAAATACAGTTACAAATTTTCCCTTCTTAAATTTTATTTTAAAACGAAATTCAGAAAGTATTAAAAAAATAAAAGGTTTAAGTATAAAACCTCTTAAATTAAATTGTTAAACAATATTAAAACGTGTTGAGTTTTTAGTTGTAAATTACACAAATAGTCCCTAACGTTTATGACAGCTATAAAGACACCTCATCATTTTTTAAAAAATTAGAAACTTACCTTTCAGCTTACTTTTTGTAACAGATTTCTCCATGTCATATAAACTGGTATCAGAGCGAGGGTTTTTTTTTTTTATGACAACAATGAAATGATATTCCGCTTTTGGAACGCAACATAAGGTTTTTGCCATGGCAGGTAAGATGTGAGTTGTGCTTGAGTAGATTGATTTGGATGATGCCCCGTTGGGTTTGATAAAATGACTTCTACTTGGACGCATGAGGAAAAATAGCGTAGGGATCGAAAGTCCATGTCCCATTTCCATCTTAAATCAGACTTTTCGGGATGTTCTTAAAGAGAAAAATGTCACTGCATTGTTGTTGAAATTGAAGCAACTTTCCATGACAAAGAGTTTGACCAATAAGTTATACTTGGAATCAATGCTTGTAATGTCACCACATGTCTGAAGGTAGGTCTATTGAGGATACCATTTTTAAAGAAATTGTGGCTAATTTAGAAACTTTGGAGGTTGAATATGATGAGGAGGATCTTGGATTGATCTTATTGTGTTCACTGCCATCTTCATATACGACTTTTAGAGACACTATTCTCTATAGTCGTGATACTCTCAAAATTAATGAGGTCTATAACGTTTTACCGTCAAAGATGAAAATGAAGCAACTTGTGGTTGGATTAGAGGGTCACGCAAATGGCCCGTTGTCAGGGGCGGATCCAGCAATATAAGTAATTGTATAACTATCATTGAAATGTTATGTCGATCAATTTAGAGAGAGGGCGCATTTCCATGTGGGAGACTTGAGTTCGATTCCCTTCAACAACATTTTCTCTTTTAAATTTTAACATGTTAAATAATGACTAAATATTAACTATTTATTGTACCAATGTTCAACAAAAAGAAGGGTAGCCCATATGGTACATGGGTCATTTTGTGCACTAGAGGTATAGGATTCAATTCTTTGTTTTTCTACTTTT